GAGGGGGCTGGGGGCCTGGACCCCTGGGTCTGAGGGAGGAGGGGGCTGGGGGGGCCTGGACCCCTGGGTCTGAGGGAGGAGGGGGCTGGGGGGGCCTGGACCCCTGGGTCTGAGGGAGGAGGGCCTGGGGGCCTGGACTCCTGGGTCTGAGGGAGGAGGGCCTGGGGGCCTGGACTCCTGGGTCTGAGGGAGGAGGGGGTTGGGGGCCTGGACTCCTGGGTCTGAGGGAGGAGGGACTGGGGGCCTGGACTCCTGGGTCTGAGGGAGGAGGGCCTGGGGGCCTGGACTCCTGGGTCTGAGGGAGGAGGGCCTGGGGGCCTGGACTCCTGGGTCTGAGGGAGGAGGGCCCGAGGGCTTGAACTCAGTCCTGAGGGGCTGGGCCCTGAGCTTGGGGACCCCTCACTGCCCCCGCGCTGCAGGGTGTGACTCTGACCGACCTGAAGGAAGCAGAGAAGGTAGCAGGGAAGGCCCCAGAGCCAGAGAAGTCGAGCCTGCAGAGCCTGGTGAGAGGGATCAGGTGAGCAGGTGGTGGGTGGTGTAAGACGCCCGTGTCTTCTGACCTCTTTGACCTCCCTGCCCTTCTCCCCCAGGACCCATCTGCGCGACCCCGAATCCCTGGGGTGGAGAACGCTGATGGCCCTGCCCAGAGAGGTGAGGTCCGGTCTCTGGGACGTGGTCCTCCTGCTCTGGCCTCCCCGTCTCTCCTGCTGCACTGTTTTCCTGGGGGTTGCGCTAGGGGTCCTGACACCGCAGGGAGGGGCCCCTCCCCAGGTTTCTGGGCTGATTCCTGCCCCTCCCCCCAGCAGAGGCGCCTGACGGGCAGGGTCAGGGACCACAGGCCGCCAGGGAGCTTCGCAGAGTCGGCAAGGAGTGGAGGGGGCTTGCGGAGGTGAGGGGTGGGTTCCAGGTCCGGGCGGGGCGCGCTGGGCTATGGGTGGGCCTTGGAGGCAGGGTGGTGGGCCAGACTCCCCTCCCGGCATCAGGCTGAACCCCACCTCCGCCCGCAGGGGGAGGAGGCGGAGCTGGCCGACCGCAGCCCAGAGTCCAGGTACAGGGTGGGCCGGGAAGGGTTTGGGCTTGTCTGCCGGGCCGCAGAGAGCCCCGCTGACGCCCCGCCCGCCTCCACCCCAGCATTTCGGAGGGCGGCCCCTCACCTCGCAGGCAGCGGGACCCAGAGCCAGCACCGGACGAACCCGATGGAGGCTTCAGGAAGGTTCGCAGCTCCACCCCACCATCGATCCAGCTGACCAGCAGTCGGCCTGTGCACCCGCCCTTCCGCCCTCTGTAGTTCTGCCTGCCGCATCCCCACACCCCGCCCTTCCCGGCGGCCTCCCTGAGCTGCGTGTGGGTCGCTGAGCTGCATGTGGCTGGCAAGCCTGACCCTGTGCCCCCTTCCCCCTGCCCCCCCCCCCTCAGCTGTATTCAGAGCTGCGCAGTGAGAATGAGAGGCTTCGGGAGGCCCTGACCGAGACCACGCTGCGCCTGGCACAGCTCAAGGTGGAGCTAGAGCGCGCCACGCAGGTGAGGTGCCGAGGCCCCGGAGGTTTTCCCGCGCTGGCCCAGGTGTGCCTGTGCGGGGGCTCAGGACCGCTGGGCTGGGGAGTAAGAGCAACTGGGGTGGGGGGCAGGGCCTGCGGGGCGTGCTGGGACCCTTGGGGGTGGGGCTGGATGCTGAGAGAGAGGGCCCGAGAGCCTGGACGGCTGTCCCTCTCCCCATGCTGGTGTCCTCCCTCCCGGTCTTTGTGGTTCGGGCATTTGAGCCTTGTGTTTCCTCTTGTTCTCACCAGAGACAGGAGCGCTTTGCAGAGAGACCAGCCCTTCTGGAGCTGGAGAGATTCGTGAGTAGGAGCACCTGGGGTGGGGGCCCCATGTGTCCCCAGCCTTACATACCCATGTGGGTCTGAAGAAGGCCTTCTGCCCTCTCCCCACCCTTCCCAGCCTTACATGACCACTGCCGCCCCCCCCGCCCCCCCCAGCCCCTGGGCCTCACGTCTCCCATTTATTCCAGGAGCGCAGGGCCCTGGAGCGAAAGGCAGCCGAGCTCGAGGAGGAGCTAAAGGTGAATACTAAGGGGGCACTGGGGGCAGGGGCTTCCACGGGCCCAGGGCCGCCCGGCTGACCCATCCCATCCGCTCCCCTCGCACAGGCCCTGTCCGACCTCCGGGCTGACAACCAGAGGCTCAAGGATGAGAACGCAGCCCTGATCCGTGTCATCAGCAAACTCTCTAAGTGACTCTGGAGGACGACCTTCCCCCGTACCCGTATTTATACAGCTGCTTCTGCCACACGCATCCCTTCCCCGGTGTGAGCACAAGTGACAGGGCTCCCAGGGGCTCTCGGAGAAGCCATAGCCTCCCTTCGGGGCCTCCAGACTGTGAGGGGAGTACAGAGTCCCCAGGAGCCAAGGGGGGGCCCCCGAGGCCAGAATGGAGGCGAGAGGCCGAGCCAGGTAGGGAGACGTTGCTGAGGGGGGGGGGGGCTCGGGGCTGCAGGTGGGACCAGGGAGGAACAGAGGACCAGGAAGTGCCAGGACCAGTAGCCAGGACCAGAGTGGCCACCGGAGGTCCCCCTCTCACGTGTGATGCCACCCCCATCACCCCTCCCGTTCCTGAACAGGGATCCGAGAATGTGCCAAGAGTCCCGCCCGCCGCGGCCAGGTGGGCCTGTATATAGGGTCCGTGTGCAATAGGGAGGGATGTCTCTATTTTTTGCTGCCCCCTCCCCGCCCACTGTCAGGGGCAGGGGGAGAAGATATTTTCGAGACAAAGCACAGGCACCACAAATAAAAGTCGTGAAGTTGCCACACAGTGACTGTGTCCCTGGGCGGGGCAGGGGGCGGGTGGGCAGCGCTTCCGTGTTCATCTGTGCTCGTCCGTGGGGGTGGGGAAGGCTTTCAGGGCGGTGGCCAGCTGGAGCCGTGGCCTCGAACCAGGGCTGACAAGGTCCCCCTGGTCCCTGAGTAGCCTGGGGCTGGGCAGGAACGGTCAGCTGGCTCAGAGGCCAGGGCTCCTGTCAGGCTTGGAGCTCAGCTCTTACCCAGTGCTTTTGGAACAAATTTGAGCCAGTTGCCAACATGTAAAATTCGGGGTCATTCATTTTTAAAAACCCTAGAATTTTGGCTTTTCTGGAAACGGGACTGGGATGGTAGGAGCTCTGCAGTCCGGCACCGGCACCGGCACCGGCACCGGCACGGGGGCGCTGGGGCGGAGGAGGGGGCGTGCTTTCATTCCCGGTCATGTTCTCCTCTCTAGGCCCCGTCCTACCTCCTGGTGATTCCGTAGTGAGGGGAGTGGTAAGGCCCTGACACGTGGGAGGAGGAGGAAAGGAGGGGGCGGTCTCAGACGGCGGAGCTGGGGCCAGGAAGGCGGGGCGTCGTGTGTGTGCGGGGTCCGTAGCAGCCACTGAGTCAGCCCCCCCCCCCCCCCCGGAAAGCCGGCACAGGCAGGCACTCGCAGGTGTCAGGGAAGGAGCCGTGGAGGTGGTTAGGGAACAGCAGGGACAGTCCCGTCGGGCGGAGGTGTACTTGAACTGTGGAGGTGCAGGAAGCAGCCTGTGCGGCCAGAGAACTAGGAGGGGTGAGGTTGGAGAGGCAAGGGCTCGAACGGTGAGGTGGGACCTAGGTTTTAACAGGTCCCTTTGGCTGCTGCCTTGACAACAGTCCGGGGGATGACAGTGAGGGACAGAAACGGGGAGCCCCGCTGCCATGATCTCAGCAAGGAGTGGGGGTGTCTGGAAATGGCGAGACACCGTGAGACTCTGAATAGTGGAGGGGACAGCAGCCTGCAGGGCCTGACGGGCTGCACTGGGCTAGGATAGGGCTCGGGCCTGCCTTGTCCAGCCCTGGAGCTTGGACTCTAGCTGGTGGGGGCAGAGCGGGACAGGATCAGAGCTCCTGCATGCCCAGGACGGGGTCTCATCTCGTCTGATTTTGGAGGGCATCGTGGGGTGGGGGGTGCTTAGGTAGAAGCAGGAACTGGGAGTGCAGAGGCTTGGCACTGGGCATTCTGGGGACAGGGAAGGGGGGGGGCCACAGGACGAGGAAGAAAGAGCCGTCTTCCTAAAGCTGGGGGAGCAGCCAGTCTGAATGAGTCTGGGACCTAGAGAAAACCCATCCTAAACCAGCCGTGCTAGCTGTCTGGACAATGGGAAAAGTTACCAACAGCCAGGAGGACAAGGAGCTGGCTGTTCTTGAGGTGGGCAGCTTCCGGTTAGGCTGTGACCTCCCAGGAGAACAGTGGCCAGGAAGCCTGTGGCACATTCAGGAGGCAGCCCCTTCTTTGTGGCTGGGCCTCTGGCAGGTGGTGGGGGACAAAGGGAAGTGGACACTGGGAGGTGAGTGCAGGCTTCCCCCAAGGGGGTAGTTGAGCTGCAGCAGGAAGGCTGACTGGCAGTTTACCAGGCAGGAAACCACTGTTCCAGCCCGCAGAAAACATGCACAACCCCAGTGGTTGAGGGGGCTTGGGGGTGTTTGGAGAAGGGCAGGACCAGAGTGCATGGGGTGGGGTAGGGACCAAACCTCTCAGGGCCTTAAACGCTAGGCTCTGGGGCGAGGGGGCCCTTGAGCCAGGGAAGGAGATTGGGTGTTCAGAAGCTCTCTCTCGAGTGAACTGGAGGATGGCCTGCTGGCCCGGAGGGGAAGAGGAAGCCTGAGAAAGAAACCAAAAAAGGTAGGGACATGTAGGTGGGGTGAGGGGCAGGTCGCTGGGCCCCCTGGTGGCCCGGTAGAGAAGGGACAGCAGTTGACAATGCCTGCTCAGAGAAGGCCGTTTATAGACTGGGTGGTGTATCACAATGCACAGGGCACCCGAGTGTGGCCCCCTTCCCTCCCACTCACGGCCAGTCCGCTCACGCAGGAGGCTCCCCGGTTCCGGGGTGGAGACCAGAGCCGGAACAGGTCCGGAGCCTTCGCAAGGACTCGACTTCCGTGGGTGGGGGCAGTCTGCAGACTCCGTTCTCCCATGGGGCTGCCTCGAAACTTCGAGCAGAGCAGCCGGGGATGGTCAGATAACCTCTGTTTCCAGGTTGCCGTCCACCTTCTTCTTCTGCTTCTCCATCACCGCCTCCAACTCTGACACTTTCTCTTTGTCCTGGAGGGCGGGGTGGAAATCAGAAGCCTGGCCTCCGAGCACTGGGTGCCTTCCCAGGCCCGGGACGAGCATCGGCTCACCTCCAGCAGCGCGCGCTGCACCGTGACCTGGCTGTACACGCGTGCCCCCTCCTCCGGGCTCACGGCTCGCAGCTCCTCCTTCTGCAGCGAGAAAAGCTGCGCGCCGGTCAGCACGCCCAACGCATCCACGGTCCTGAGCGAGCAGTGGGGTGGGGGGAGCGGTCAGGCCCCCCAGCCAATCACAGCTTCGGCCCCGGAGCCCCACCAGTCACATCCCTGCTGCCAAACCGTTTGTCCAATCAGCCGCATCCCTCCCCCGCCCCATCAGTGCCCCATAGGGGGAGGCGGGGCGTGCGCCCAGCTTTCCAAACGAGGCCGGAGTGCCCTGGCTACTCCAATCCCAACCCGGACAAACGTGCCAGTCATGCAACCAGACAGACCCTCGCTTTAGCCAATCCTGGTTCCCCAGGGTCCAATCAGAACGGGCCCCCTCCTGCGTCCCCATCTCAGGGTCGCCAGCCGGCCACAGGCACTCACCCAGCGCTAAATCCCTTGGCCTGCAGCCAGGCGCAGACCTCGGCGGTGTCCGAGTGCGGGCTGAGCTGTGGCTCCGGCGCGCGGGGACCCGGGGCTGGGCGGCTGGGGCCTGAGCGGCCCTGGGCTAAGCGCGCCTGCAGCTCCTCGTTGACACAGAGCATCTGGGAGAATTTCTCTGCAGGCGGAAAACCGGGAGGGAGCGTGGATTCAGGATGAGGGGTCCCGGGGCCAGAGAGAAGATCTCCACCGTCCTCATGATGGGTCGGAAGTCCGTTGACTCTCTTTGAGCCTTGGTTCCCCTGACTGGAAAGCAAGGCTAAGAGCAGCTCCCCCCGGCACTCACCCTTATCTCTGGGGTCCAAGTTGAGGTTATCACCACTGTCCCAGTGGGGCCGAGACAAGGTAGGAGCCGGGGCTGGCGCTGGTGGGTGAGGGGGAGTACTGTCCTCCTAGAGAGGGGAGTCAGAAGACTGAGTCCCAGCCCCTCCACCTTCCAGAGGTCAATTTCTGAGCCCCCCCACCTCTGCTACCTCCTCTGCTAGTGCCCTTGGCACCCGATCCTCACACCCCTCCTTCCCTTAAGACCCGGGAGTCTGCCCTGGCTCACCAGGCTGCGGGAAGGGCTCTGGCTGCAGCTTCCCTGGGGCCTCGGGTGGGGTGTTAGGATATTATAGGGCACATATCCTTCCTGCCCTTGCTGGCCCCGAACCTTCCACCACTTGCGCCTGTCATCCAGGACCTGAGGGAGGTAGGAGAGGAGGGGTCACAGCCTGTGTGTGCAGCTAGGGCTGGGCCCACTGCAGCCCCTTGGCCCTCCACCCCTCTAACCTCCAACACATCCCGCTGCTTGACCGATAGCTCACTGCTGTTGCGGGCCTGGAAGTCATAATTACACAGGACCCACTTCCCCTCCGGCTCCAGCTGGGGCTCAGCCTCTGGGTCTTGGTGACTGTGGAGAAGAATGAGGGTTGGGGGTAAGAAGGTAGCCAGTCTCACTGCCCTGGGCAGTAGGGTATTGGTGTGAGCTGGGGTTAGAGCCAAGCAGGGGTCAAGGCAGGGGGCCTGGTTAATACTGTTAATAGAGACTTCAAATTGGAATAACACCTTGAATGCATTTTGTTTCTTATGTACCAGGCACCGTGCTTTAAGCAATGATAGGAGTACTAACATCACCTCCGTTTTATAGATGAGAACATTAAGGCTCAGAGAAAGTCACTTGCTCCCTATCACACAGCTAGAAACAGCTGCTGTTTATTGAGCATCTACTGTGCACTAGGCTCACACTTATGAGAACCCATAGTTACAACACAAACAACAGTTAACTCATAGTTAACTTCTAGAGCACGGACTAGGTGTCAGGCCCTGTTCAAAGACTTACATGTACTGGCTAATTTGGGTTTTGACCCACTCATCGGTCTAATCATGAATTTGGACTCCCCTCCCCACTCCCATCCTTTCCTCCTCCACTCACGACCCTATTATTTTGTTTTACAGGTGTAGGAATGGAAGAACAGGGAGACAGAGAGGCATGATGGTGTCAAGTTCACAGAACAAGAAAGAGGCATTGGCCAGACTGAGACCCAGGCAGGCTGGCCCCAGAGTCCGTGTCCTGAGTAATGCTGGTCTACTGTGTGGGCCGCTGGGTGTGAAACTGAGCTCTACCATGGGGCTCGTAACGGCTTGTCTGTAGAACCTCCTAGATTTCCGACTCCTTCAGGAAGGGATTATTTTCCTTTTTTCTGCAAAGAATTGGAGGCTCAGACAAGGAAAGTTAAAAGCTGGGGGTGCCAAGCCCAAGTTTCAGAAGCATGGGGAGCAGGTGAAGTTCTGCAAGACCAGGCAGCTGGGGTTGGGGGGGGTGGAAGCAAGATGTTGGCTCTAATCCCCCAGTAAGAGGGACCTCAGCCTGGATCAGGCCTACCTGTGCAAAGGAGAGGGGGGGTCTTCAGGGCCGCGGCACCCCCTGTGTGGGGCTGGCAGCTCCTAGCATGCTGTCCCTGCTGAGACTCTCTGCCGGGGCCCTCACCCAGACCCCCCTTCCGCTCCTTCAGCTTTGCTGCTTTGTTTTCTTCTTACCCCACAAAACTTCTCTCACATCTGCCCTCGACTTGCTCAAGGACCCTAGAGTCCCTGGCTTCTCCATGTCCCTTCTGTGCCCCCACTGCTTTTTGGAGTCATGAACTCAGACCCCCAGCTCTTTCCTCCCCCAGAGACCCAGGAGTCCAGGTCTGAAACCTTAATTTCCCCAATCTTTTAACCTTAGAGGCTCTCTATATGACATTCAGTGGGAACAGAGACAACTGCTTTAGAGCCTTGGGAAAGGGAGGGTCCAGCCTCCCAGTTGTTACCTCTTTCAGGGCCTAGAAATACTACCACTTCTTAACTTTCCCAGAAACTTGCCCCATGGCTCTTGAAGGCCCAGGGCTTCTCTGGGTCTCCAAGGCCCCAAGCACCAGACTTGAGTTCTTCTTCAAAACCCAAATGCCCAATCCCCCCAGTCTCTTCCCTCCAACACCTGGGGCTCTGTCCTCTTAGGGACCCAGACACGGAGCTTCCCTGGCCCTGGGACCCAGACAGGGAGCTTCCCTGGCCCTGGGACCCAGACAGGGAGCTTCCCTGGCCCTGGGTAATCTAACTGCCTTCTCTCAGCCTCTCAGATTTGACCCACTCCCAGCCCCCTCCTCCCTCACACCCTGGAATCTGGACCTCCTCCCCTGGACCCCTTAGTCTGGGCCCCACCCCCTCCCTCCCTTCTCCCTCCCTTTCCCAGCCCCGGCCCTCCCTCGTCACCACCTCACCCACCTGTGAAGAGTGGGGGAGACAGAAGGAAAGACAGAAAAAAGGGGGTGGAGTCAGCGCCAGGAGCCCCCAGGACGCACCCCTCCTCGACCCCACCTGTCCCACCTTGGGGCCGACACTTACCCATTGACAGCGACCTGGGGAGCACTTTGCTGGGGAGAGGAGAGCAGCAGCTCAGGCAGGGCCAGACTTCGGGGTCCCCGGCCCCCTGTATCATCTGGGGGAGTGTGTGACTCCCCACGGAGCTTTAGCCTCACCTGCTGGCGCCGCCGCTCGTGCTGCAACTGTCTTTCTACTGGGTCCTCCCAGGCGCGGCCGCGCGGGTCGGTGGCGGGGGCCTCCCAGCCGCTGGAGAACTCAGGGCTATATGGGGATCCCTCCTCTGGGGGCAGCTCCAGCCTGCGGCCAAGGGGCTGAGGGCTCAGGGATCCTGGTCTGGCCCCGACCCCTATTACTAACTACACTAAGGTTTTCCCCATCCTGCAGACGAGGCGCTGTCCGAGCTCTCCTAACCTCTCCGCTTTTTGCCAAGGCCCGCCCCCCGCATCTAAGCTCCACCACCCCCGACATCAACTGTACCTGCAAATACGCTAATTTCACTCTAATGCTGCGTCCGGCCTCTGAATCTCCTCTCGGATTCTACACACATCCCACCTCCGTCCCCTACGTCCGGCTCTGCTCTCACCACCCCCCCCCCCGGAGGCTCGCTGCCTCCAAGCGCAGACTGCACCCCTTTCCCAAACCTACAGGCCAGTCCTTTCCTGGGCCCCACCCCTCTCCTCTAAGGCCCGCCTTTTTTGTTGCGGTTGGAGCTCTGGTTTGGTCTGAAACGTCTCCTCCCCACGAATGTCTGCCCTTTCCTCCAGTCGGGTCCTGGCCCTTCAGCCTCCAGCTGAGACCAGCATCCCAGCCTCTAAGTCACTGCCCCCCTGCCTCCCAGCCCCCCACCCCTGCCTCACCCCGGGCGGGTCCACGAGTCCCCCAGCGAGGTCCAGAGCGCATTCTCACGTGGGGTGAGGTGGTCCCGCAACAGTGCTACGGCCTCAGACGTCAGGTGCGGCCGCCGCACTTCACTTGCGAATCGGGGACCGCCCGACGTGTCCACGACCTGCCAGGGGTGCAGGAGTGAGCGGACACTCCATCAACCCTCCCCTCCCCAAAGTCGAACTCCGATTCCTCCTGCTGCAGAGGGGGGACCGGAGGGCTGAGGGAGGGGGTGCTCACCAGTTGCAGAGGTCCGAAGAGGAAGTGCAGTAGCTCTGGCGACGAGGGGTTGGCGATGTTGCTGCGCAGCCGGGCCTGCGGAACGGGGGAGGTGCCGAGGTTAGCCCACGGGCAGTCAAGCTCGCCATCCCCCTACCCCACGATGGCCGGGGCGGGACACGGTCTCACCAGCAGGCTGAAGGCGTACTTGATTTTCTGAAGCACATCTGTATACTCGGCCTCTGAGGGCGGCTTGGCGCGCAGTGTCAGGAGACCCTCTGCAGGTGGGGGAGGCAGGTGGGGTGCCGTGTGTGGGGGGGAGGGCAGAGGCAGGTGCGGCGCGGCGGGGGGGCGAGGCAGGCGCGTTGCAGGACGCGGGGGGGGAGGCAGGTGCGGTGCTGGGGGGGAGGCAGGTGCGGTGCTGGGGGGGAGGCAGGTGCGGTGCTGGGGGGGGAGGCAGGTGCGGTGCGACGGGGACACAGCACCAGAGAGATCCCCAGGGATGGGGAGTCACACCTGGCAGGGGGGGTGCGTGGGGAGACCCTAGGGACAGGGAAGATATTTGGGAGTGACTAGAGGCTCAGGATCCCACTCGGAGGCGCCCCTCACCCCCAGCCGTTCGGCGCCGGGTCCTGCGGCCGCGCTCCCGATGCTGCAACACGCGGGCTGCCTCTGCAGACTTCTGCAGCCTCGACACGAAACTCTCCACGTCATCGAACACGTGGTTCAGGATGTCCTGGGGTACAGAGCAGGGGAGGCAGGGGGCCCAGGGGTGTAGAGTCATTACCCCAAAGCCCTCAGGCCCAGGGCCCTGACATCCTCCCAGGCCACGCCCCGCCCTCTGCTGCCTGGCCCTGTCCTCATATTCCAGTCACCGCCGGCCACACCCCCAGGTGTCTGACACCCCCACTACCCCCCAACAAAGCCCCCCATTCCCCGGAGCTAGGACTCACTCCCGACAGCCGGTCCCACCTCCAGGCCCTAGCCCCGCCCCACTCACCACGTCCCGCTCGGCCTGCAGACCGGCCAGGTCCGGACCACGGGGGCCCAGATCCAGGGAGGCCGGGTCAGCACCGCCTGCGGCCTGAGCCTGGCCGGGCCTCCGCGACTCTTCCGCCGCTTCGGGGATGGGCTCCGCCTGGGATCGTCCCCGGCTGACGCCCGCCGTGCTGATGACGGCACGGACCGACGGGCGGCGCTGCAGAGGAGGGGTCTCGGCCCCCGGCGAGGGGCGGCGCTGCAGCTCCTCTTGCGTGGCCCTGCGGAGGCACAAGGAGAAGCAGCCTGGGTCCGCCTGGCGATAGGGCAGGGGACAAGTCGGGCTTCAAACGGAGACAGTGTGGCCCAGCTGAGTCAAACCTGGGGCAGGGAAAAATCGGATATGGGGAAGGGGAGCGCCTCTCCAGAGGGAAACGGAGGCCTGAGGGAGGAGAAACCGAGGACCAGAATTAGGAAAAGTCGTCTTGGAGAGCAGGTGCACTTATCTGGGTGCTACGGCAGGACTCAAAGCAGGCTTTGTTTGACGGACTTCAAAACTCGTGCTGTTCCAGGCTAGGGGCATCCGCTCATTTGTCGGAAGGGGGGACTGAGGCGCCGGGGTGGGGGGTGGGGGGAAGAGACCGAGGCGCCGGGGTGGGGTGGAGACCGAGGCGCCGGGGGGGGCGGGTAGCTGGCCTCCCAGAAACACCGCCCCGCATCCTCTCTTCTCCCCCGCTTCCGGCCCAGAGCCCTTACCTGAGCGCCGCGGGCCTGCGCTCCCCGCGGCCCGACCGGTAGTCGTGCAGAGCCCCCTGGATGTCCTCTCGGATCAGCTCCGCCTGCCAATCATGGCATCAGGCCCCCACCCCACCTACCGCTTGCCCCGGCCACGGTCGGAAGGATCGAAGGATCGATTCCTTGGTTGGGCGCCAGACCCCCTCCCCAAGTCAGCACTCACGCACACGGTGCCCCACGCACATCCACGCTCGGAACTCACGCCCTCACCCCACCTCTGCCCCTGCCCTGGGCTACTTCCCCAACCCCGGAGACCGGGTCCTGGTGCTTCCTCACCCCCCAGACCATACCCGCCTCTAGTGCTGGCTGCTCCCAGACCCTGTCTCCCCTGTGCTGTCATGTTCTGTCCGGGCCCTTAGCCTCGGTCTCCATTCCGCCCTCACGTTCTACTTCGACCGGGTCCAACCTGTCCTCAAAGCCCCCTCCCTTCCAGAACTTCTTTCCAGGCCATGCCCCCTCTGCCGGCCCTGACCCCGCGTCTGCCCCAGGCCCCGCCCCGTCTGTGCACCAGCCGCGTCCCAGGTGGCTCCCTCGGAGCAGGCCCACTCACCCCGAGACGCAAGCCCTGGAAGAAGTGCACGTCGGGCTGCGTGCGCTCGGGCTCCTGGCATACGAGCAGCAGCAGCGAGCGGCTCCGGCCTGGGAGCAGCACCACGTCGCAGCGCACGATGGCGCCCAGCGGGTACGACTCCAGCTCCTCCTGCGGGGCGGGGCGGCGGGTAAACTGAGGCCCGAGCCAAGGGGACTAAATGGCGGCAGCCGTGCCAGGGGGCACACCGACACTGTACAAGCAGCCCTGCGAGGCTAGGGGATGAGGGGGTCGGCCATGGCGGCCCTGCGGGGCCAGGGGCTTGGGGATGGCAGCCCTGTATCATAGAGGAGACTAAGGACGCTCACAAGAGTAGCGGAGATCTCTTGCGAAAAGTCCCAAAGGAAGGACATGCAGGGGCCAAGATTCACACTCAGACGTCCCTAGGGTCAAGCTCTCTGTGCCTTCCCCCACTCAGGCCAGTCGCTCCTGCCCCCCACGTGTCCCCTGGCACCTTGGAGATGGGGTCAAGCAGCGTGACATGGTCGGGAGACACACGCAGCAGCATCTCTTGGGCCCAGATGCGGCCCTGGCTGTCCATGACGGCCAGCTTCCGCGAGGCGTCCTCCACGGTGTGCACACCATCCTCTTCACCCAGGCAAAACGTCACCAGGTGCTGGCACCGGGCGTGGAGAAAGCAGGGAGTCCCAAGATGATGCCGGTTGGGCTCGCACCAGCCTTCCAGCCGGAGACTAAACACGCCTCCTCCAGAAAGCCTTCCCTACTAGGGGCTCCCCCTATGGGGCGCCTCCTCCCAGTGCCCTGTGTTTTGCTTTCATCCGAGTGACTAGCCTCCCAGCACCACTGGAAGCTCCTTGGAGGCATTGGTTCTATCTAGTCCCTTCTAAGCACCTCTGCCTCTGTTAGAGCACCAGGCACACTTGGACCCGTCCTCACACAGGTTTACCTAACGTTTGTCCCTGGGGCCTGACTGTCCAGCACAAGGGCTGCTCTGGAAGAAAACGTGGCAGATTCAAGTGGAATTGAATTCCTGTGCCGAATACCCACTTCTGAGGGGAGGCAGAAGCAGCCCATCTTGCATATGAGCAAACTCAGTTTCCTTCTGCTTTCAACATCTCCATCTTCCCAGGCCTGCCCTTCCTCCCGACAAGCCTCCCTGGGACAACACAGACCCCAGACTCACGTTGACTGGATACTGGGAAACATCTGCCATAACCACAGTGGAGTAACGCTTCCTCTGCTCTGTGGGGGAGGAGAATAAACCCAGAAGACTCAGCCCCTCCTGCCTCAGACCCAGGAGTCCAGGACCCCCAGCCCCCCCTCCTCCTCCTCCCTCAGACCCAGGAGTCCAGACCCCCCAGCCCCTCCTCCCTCAGACCCGGGAGTCCAGGACCCCCAGCCCCTCCTCCCTCAGACCCGGGAGTGCAGACCCCAGCCCCTCCTCCCTCAGACCCAGGAGTCCAGACCTCCAGCCCCTCCTCCCTCAGACCCAGGAGTCCACGCCCCCAGCCCCTCCTCCCTCAGACCTATTTTCAGCCTGGGGTTTTCTCGCACCCAAACTCACCATAGATTGACTTGGCACTTGGTTTGGGGGCAGCTTCTGGGCTGGTTAAGGAAAAAAAGAGTGAGAGGGGCCGTGGGAACTGGGAGATCATGGGGGCTTTGAATGCCAAGCAGAGCAGCAAAGACTTCATTGTGAGGGCAGTTGGGAACCATGGAGGGTTCCGAGTAGGGGAGGGCAGGGCCAGAGCTTGACTTTCCCACAGGTAAGGCAGTGCGGTACCAGGTGGTGGTGGAGAGTGTGGTCTCAGCCGTTGTACAGACCTGGCTTGGAATCCCGTCAATATTGCCTTGCCATAAGACCCTGGATAGGAGACTTAATCTCTCGTGCCTCAATTTCCCTTTCTGTGAGATAGGGGTTAGTAATCTGATAGCCTGTCTGGTAGAGCTATTGGATTCACAGAGTGGAGGGGATTCATAGCCTCAATAAATTAAATTTCAGTCCTACAGTGTGAAGGGTAGCACACAGTATGCGCTCAATAAAGGGGGGGTTTTGGGGCGCCTGGGTGGCTCAGTCTGTTGAGCGTCTGCCTGCAGCTCAGGTCATGATCCCAGGGTCCTGGGATCGGGCCCCGCATCGGGCTCCCTGCTCCGCGGGAAGCCTGCTTCTCCCTCTCCCACTCCCCCTGCTTGTGTTCTCTCTCTCGCTGTGTCTCTGTCAAATAAATAAATAAAATCTTTAAAAAAAAATAAATAAAGGGGGGTTTACACCAGCATTAGTATTTGGGGTAGACAGAGACTTATCTTCCCTTCCTACTCCCGCGGGCCAGGCTCTTCCCAGCCAAATCCTTCTCTGTCTCCTGCCCCTGGCCTCTCCTTCTAGGTCACCCTCTCCAAGAAGAATTCCAGAGAAATGACAGAAACTCAGAGCTCGGGTGGAATCAGGGATGAGGGACAAGAAACACTTTCAGTCAAACCTCTGCTGCTCGTCCTGCTCCTGCCGGTCAGATCTCCGCACAATTTGATTACCCCTGTGCTGGAGAGTTCACTACCTTATATCTCCAATGCAGCTATTCCCATGGGCCTCCCTTTGTTCTTCTCGCTGCTCACTCCAGGAGACTTGAACTTTATCAGAAACAGCCCAGGGACTCCTGGGTGGCACAGGTGGTTAAGCCTTGGGCTCTTGGTTTCGGCTCAGGTCATGATGTCAGGCTCATGAGATCAAGTCCCACACTGGGCTCCACGCTCAGCGTGGAGTCAGCAGAAGACACTCTTGCCCTCTCCCTCTGCCCTTCCCCCCACCCCTGTGTTCTCTCTCTTTCTCTCTGAAATAAACCAATCTTAAAGAAAAAAAAAAAAGCCCAGATTTGCCTGCGAAGGGTCAATGTCTAATAATAAGCTAACAACAGCAGAAGCGGAAGAGAGTACCTGCTCTTGGTCAGATTCTCTGCTAAATCCTATACCTTCATTACCCTGTCAAGCTCTCAGAATTGTCCTTGTTTCCCAGAGGAGGAACTCAGGCTTGGTTCTTTGGCCAGGGTCACACCGCTGCTGAGTGTTAGCATCTGGACATGAACCCAGGTGTGTCTGCTCCGGGGCTGTAGCTCAAACCCGGGCCGGGCGGGGAAGGAGGCAGCGTAGGCATCCTTTTCAGTGTCCAGGCCTGGGCTGCTGTAAATGCCCCCTGGGGGTGTGGGGAAGAGGGTGGCAGAGGGGGCTGGGCAGCCTGGGGGGCAGGGG